TGTAGCTTATATTTTATACTCCTCACCTTTCAACTAAATTTGTTTAGTTTCATAAGTAAGTTATACATTGTAACAATGTTAACAAGGGCAGGACTCAAACTGCCACTTCCCTGTATCAGGCTGGCCCCTGAAAGAGCGAGTGAATCGGTGATTGAATGTGTAACGTGATTGAATGTGTAACATGGAAGCAGGCAGCGATTAACACCTGGTAAACTGCAGATCAACCAAGGGAAGAACTCAATAGAAGACAATGTAACAACTAGGAAATCTCTAAACCTCACCGATCAAGGGCTAGAAGCCCTGGCCTGAGTTAATCAATGCCGGGGACCAACTTTTGGGCTGAATATCTCCAGATCAACTGCTCCCAGAGCCCTATTCAAAATTCATCAACCGACTCCCAAACCGGACCGTACACGTGGACAACCCCTGGGGCTGACAGATGCCGTCCAGTAGCCACCGAGGGGGAGGAAGTCCCATGAGGGTCAATGACCCCTGGCTTGGGCAAACCTGAAAACTGGGCAGTCACCAAAGTCTGCCAAGGACAGATAAAAGGCAGTGAAAAGTGACCCTCAGGGGTGCCCTCTCGATCTCCAACTCGACCAGACCTGTCCAGTCGGCAACCCCTTTCTGGAAGATAACACCACGCTGAAAGAAGCCTCAACGACAGACTCCAGCGCTTGTAGGATAGGTATACCTGACTCTTGTAGCTTGCTACTGTGTGTGTGCATGTGTGTGTGTGTGTGCATGTGTGTGTGTGGGGACCAGCCCCAAGGTTTATAATTTAATTTCATTACAGTGCTTCAATCTGCCTAATAAATCAGAATTTTAAGGATCCCGAGTTGGACATTTGTAGCCAATAAGAGCATACCACAGGGACCATGGGGTCCCAGCTCCAACCCACCCCGAGGGCTGGATGTGGGGGCTTATGCTGGCCTCTGTGCAGGGGGTGGGATTTTTGCTGCTGAAACCAGAAGCTAAATCAGTCTCACACCAAGCCCCCATGTCCCCAAAATTGACCAAGGTAGCACACTTCTCAGGGAGAGCACCCAAATATGCAGTGCTGATTGGAAGAAAATTGGGGCAATGGGAGCAGTCTCAGCATAAGCCCCCCTAAGCTAAACCAATCACAGGTCACAGTCCACGACTGCCCCCTGCTGTACCTTAGCAGTGGGGGGTCAGGAGGGTAAAACTGGTCTGAGGTGCTCTCTGGCGTCTTTAACTTGTAATAGCACAGTAACGAATTTCAAGCGCTAAACCCATTGTCTGCAAAATAGTCATGGGAGTCATCGCGGTACGTTGCAAGAGTAAAAAAACCCAAAGAATATATTTAGCTAGACCAAGTCAACAACGTGTCCAGGCACCCTCAGGAACCCCATCCCTGCACTGAGGAGGTCCCAGTCTGGGGGCAGGACCCTGCACACACTCACACCTCTAGAGAGCTCTTATTCACAGCAGTCACCACCATACATCCCATGGGTTGGCGTGTCCCAGACTCCTTCCTCCCTTTGCTCTGCACCTCCCAGCCATTCCCAGGTGCCATGGCTCCTCCCTGCTCCGAGTGGGGAGAGGCTGAGCTGCTTGAGTCTTATATTATGTCACTGGACGAAATTATTCGAAATTATTATCTTATTATTATCTTATATTATGTCACCAGCCATCGGGGCAGGCACTAAACTGCCAGGGAGCCTTTCCGTAAAGCCACAGCGCTGATAAAGACACTGGCCCTTCCCCATCAGAGCTGGTCTGGGCCAGCTGGAGCAGCCCCTCAGTGCACTGCTGGGGTCTGCAATGGGAAAAGAGACAGCCCAGCACACGGATCAGACCAGGCGGTCACCTGAACTGCTGCAATTAAGCAAACACTCTTGCCTCTCTCCCTGCTTGTCCCTGCACAAAGCTGAGCTGGCTTGACTGAGTTAATGGGACTGTGAAATCATCTTTCTTTCACGTCCGGACAAGAGTTTGGCAGAACTTCCTCTGGGACTGGCAGGTGCAGCCGTGTCCCGGGGTGAGTGAGGACCTCCCTGCCCTGTGAGGGCTGTTATGTGGGGCAGGACACACTTATCCATCTGATCTGAGTCCTGTTTCCAGTCATTTCTATTTGTTGGAAAAGGTCACAGAAACTCTTTAAAACATCACACAGTCCCCGGCATGCACCTTTTTCACTCTTCAGTTCAGACAGCAGGGCCTCTGGGGAAGGAAGGACTAGAGGTACCATTAGCACAGGTGGACTGTGATGAATATAAGGTGATGTTCTGTCAGAGGGGACACACACACAGGTCTGTATTAGCTTCTCTGCACATCACATCCCTGCTGCCTGGGACTGACCAGCTCCAGTGGATGGTTCAATCTGCCCCACTATTTCCTATCCCCTCTAGGACCTGCTCCAGCCCACCTGGCACAGAGACGTGTGGCAGAGGACCATCCAGCCTCCCGCTAGTGGGGAAGTAGATGGAGACAGCGAGGAAGAGGAGAACGACAGAGCACCAACAGTGACAGCAGCAGTGAGTCCTCCAGCGGGAGCGACAGCAGCATGGACAATGGGTGAATTGAGCCTGTGACTGCCATGGGGCAGGGATGAAGGAAATAGTTTGCCTTTGTACGGGTGCATGAGTGTGGATATTTTAATGGGTTTTGGTTTTCTTTGTGTTGTGATATTAGGAGTGTAGCTATATATAACCTCATATATAGAGAGCTATATTAAAAAAAAAAGTTAGGCTTAAATCAATTGCTGAGTATGGGCTCAGGATGGAAATATCTCCCAGGTCAGGATGGCTGGGACTGTGGGATGGTCAGTTCTACTGACTGGGATCATCAGGCATTTTTAACCCAAAAAATCCTTGCATCTGCAGGTGCCTAAGATGTTGTTGGGTCCCTTGTCTCTCCTGTTCTGGGGCAGACTGCAAGTTTTACTCCCTGGTGGGATTTTCCCCCTAATGGAAACTGTCCCCGGGGTCAGGGGTCTGTGTGGCAGTGCAGGGGAGGAGGGGCCAGGGCTGGATGTTCTTGTGGCCTTTTTGGCTAAACATCCATTGGATGACTGCCTGTGCTCACAAGGGACTGGAGTCCAGGGCCCATGCCCGAAGCTGTCCCAACTGCCCCAGGCTCCTGGCATGGAGATGAGGAAGGTGAAGTAGGTCAGCTGAGTGAGGCATTGACCTGGGCTCCACCCTAAAACTACTCCTGGCCGGGTGGGTATTCCCTGCCCCTAGTTGCAGGGATGATGTGGAGTAGCTGACATTGGGCCCAGGTTAGAGGAAACATATCCATGAATTGATGGGGGAGGAGGGGCCCTTGTCCAGCACATGCTCACATCAGCTGGGGCTTAGTGAATGAGGTGGGGCTGGGCCCGTGGTGCTGCACTTGGAGCTGGTCCCCCTGGGGTGCCTGCCTGGGATACATGTCCAGCAGGACACGGAGGCATCGGCATGTCTCACCATCACTGCTGAGCACAGCTGGAGACAGAGCATTTGAGCCCAAGCATGAGCTGTGTCTGAGAGTGGCCCTGCAGGACCCAAGTGCGATTTCTGTGTCCCTACAACTGTAGACACCAGGTCACATCACAGCCGTCGGCACCTCTAGGATCCCACTCCCACCCTCAGGAGATCCCTGCCGGCCAAATGCCACCCTTGGAGACCAGGGAGCAAACCAGTAGGGAGCACCCACAGTGCACAAGACACATCAGCACCCCAACGTGCAGTCCAGACCGTTCCTGTGGGGAGATCTCAGGCTGAGCACCCCAGCTTTCAGGAAGGAATTGCTGACTCTCCTCAGCACCACTTTGGCCATCATAGGTCCTAGCAGCCTCAGAAGACCGGATTTGGCCATAAGCACCTCCCCAGATCCTTTCCCAGCAGGATTGCTCACTGCAGTGTTTGGTTTGGGTCTTCACTGAGCTCCAGAGGCCTGAATCCTTTGTCCCTTCTCTGGCTTGGATGTGGGGTCTCATCTGCTCAGAAACTTCTCCCACGGGTTCAGTCCATGCCCCAGTGCTAGAGCCTTTCAGAGCTCCCGTCCGTCCTGCCCTGTCCCATCTCAGAGGAGCTCTCCTCTGCCCACACTCTCTCCAGCCTGTTACATTACCTTTCACAGCAAGAGAAAAGGCACCGGGCACAGCAGTCTCAGAAACAACACAGGACACAGACAAGCACCAGCATCCTCAGGATTGCCACCACTACAGCCAAAGCCACCACCATGGCAGACACCGGTGGGAAAAATTGATCTGCAAGGGAAAGTGTCATTCACTTGGCAGTCCTGAGTGAGTAAATGCACAAGGTTTGGGGGCAACCGTGGCTTTCCCTGGGACCCTCCTGATGGATTTTAGGCTGACGGGGATCATCCATGCTTCATGCTTAGTATACTGGAAACCCAAGCTCCAGCAGCCACTGCCTGCCCTAATGCAGCCACTGTCCTGCTCACTGCCCTGAGGCAACAGTGTGGTAAATCCAGAAATAAACTAGACCCAGAAGCACATGTCCTGGGTGCAGAAACCTCTATCAGCCTGCAGGAAGCGATAGCGACCTCCCCTTCCTCAGGGTATCATGGGATCCTCATGGGAAGTGGCTGCCTCCTCCAGCAGGTCACCAAAGACAAACACTGACCCTGCAGTCACAGGCTGACAGCTGAGCTCCGTGTCAGTGCGAGGGTGTCCCGAATCTCAGGGTGACCCGCTCATGCCAGGCAGCGCAGGCTGCACCCAGGTACTGAAGTGCTTGAGTGCCAGTCATGCAGCCACAGGCACTTATCTCCCGCAAGGATGCCGGCATTGAGTAAATGTCAGCCCGGGAGCTAGACCCCTCCTTGTCTGTCCCAGCAGCGTGTCCCCAGTGCTTTGTCAGTGGTTTCTAGATGTGGCCCTCAGGGGA